CCTTCCTTCCTTTCTTTCTTTCTTTCTTTCTTTCTTTCTTCTTTCTTTTTTATTTCTTTATTTCTTTCTCTCTCTCTCTCTCTTTTCCTTCTTTCATTTCTTTCTTTTTTATTTCTTTATTTCTTTCTCATTCAAGTGCCACCCATCTTGCCTAGAGGCAAACCCCCATAGCTATTGTAGGAAGAATACGCTGGTCCCCGCGGGATAACCTAAGCCAGCGATGGTTAACCTTTTTGGCACAGTACTGAAACTGGAGCGTGCGCGCATGTACACTGGAGCACTGGAATTTGGAAGAGAGCAGCTGGCCGGTGTTCATGTGTGCAGTAGCCAGCTGCTTTTCTGGGTTTCATCACGCACGTGTGCCAGTCAGGTGGTCTTTGCACAAAGATCAGCTGGCCGATGCCCATGTGCGTGCCAGAACCAGGAGAGCAGCTGGTGACAGTGCACATGCCCACAGAGAGGGCTCTACATGCCACCTCTAGCATGCGTGACATAGGTTTGCCATCACCAACCTAAACTATTGGATAAATATCAAACAGGAATCTCCCAATGCTTTGTTCAGCTGTGATTTATAGTACACCAAGGTCTGTCCCATCACTTGATCTTGAAGGATATAGGGTGTGAACAGTGTCATGTTTCTGAAAGATACCCTAATTAATTCATGAGCAGCAAGCCAAGTTTCAAAAGAAATCAGTCATTTATTAGGAACACCATTTCGGCAATACCCCATTGCAGTCAGATCTACCCTTGTTTAAATTGTAGCTGAACTTTGCCCCCATTTCTTCCCTCCCCTCAGACTGTGTCATAAATCACATTCTCCAACGAGGTGCATGCCTCACAAGCCTGCCAACTCTAGCCGAAGGTATGCATGGAATGTGCTACCCCCCTTTCCTCTCCATGGCAACTTGATAAAGGTGCAAATGCTTTATGAGTTGACAAACAGACATTTAAGGACTTTGAGGTCTTCCTATGTCCAAGAAAAATGCATAAAATAAATGTTGGGATAGATAATTAAAAGAGACTTTGAACACCCTTCCTGGAGCTGTTGATTCTTTCTTCCTGTTTCAGAATTCCTTGTCTTTCGATGATGTAGCTGTTTTCTTCTCATTGGAGGAGTGGGATCTGCTAGACTTCAACCAAAAAATCCTGTACAACGAAGTTATGTCGGAAAATGCCAGGAACATGGCCTCCACAGGTAAAGGGTCAACTCTGCTCTGGTTTCAATTCAGCGGGAAAGGTATTTTCTAGTTTTAAAAAACAACCATTTATTAATGGAAATGTTGACCTGTTCATCCCAAAGGTAATTTTTTTTCCAAAAGTCCACTGGACTTTGTTTTTTCTTGAAGACACTTCACTTCTCATCCAAGAAGCTTTCTTCTGTTCTGACTGAAGAAAAACAAAGTCCAGTTGACTTTGAAAAAGTATCTTTCAGACAATCATGACCTGAAAGACAGAGAATCTCCACAGACAAGTGTTGATCAATTCATTTCCAAGAGGGAAGAAATTAGCAATAGCAATAGCAGTTAGACTTATATACCGCTTCATAGGGCTTTCAGCCCTCTCTAAGCGGTTTACAGAGTCAGCATATCGCCCCCAACAACAATCCGGGTCCTCATTTCACCCACCTCGGAAGGATGGAAGACTGAGTCAACCTTGAGCCGGTGAGATTAGAACCGCTGAACTGCAGATAACAGTCAGCTGAAATGGCCTGCAGTACTGCACCCTACCCACTGCGCCACCTCGGCTCTTTAGAACTAAACTGTACTTTTCACTGAGGACTAAAACTATCTTGCTGCCCATAGAGAGAACATCCTCTCATTCAGTGATATTTAGAAGCCCCAATAGACCTGCGGTAAACAGAATTACTACTAATTGGGCCCTACTCACTTCTTTGCTTGCTTCTCAGGCACTAACATTTGCCTCAGGTCCTCCTTGTAATAGCTGCTACCTCATGAGACCTGAGGTAAAATAATATGCTAGGACTGCAGAACTGTTTTTTCAAGGGAATGCAAGCTCATTCAAGCAGTTTGGAGCTCTGCTCTCATATTCCCTTTCCAGTTACAGGTAGTCCTCGACATACAATGGTTCATTTAGTGGCCGTTCAAAGTTACAATTGGAAAAGAAGTGACAACTATTTCTCACACCTACGACCGCTGCAGCATCCTCGTGGTCACATGAGCAAATTCAGACGCTTGGCAACTGACTTGTATTTATGACCGTTGTGATCATGTGATCTCCTTTTGCGACCTTCTGGCAAGCAAAGTCAATGGGGAAGCCAGATTCACTTAACGATCGTGTTGCTAGCTTAACAACTGAAGCGATTCACTTAACAACTGTGACAAGAAAGGTCGTGACTGCTTGCACAAAATGGAGCAAAACTCACTTAACAACTGTCTCATTTAGCAACAGAAATTTTGGGGCTCCATTGTGCTCGTAAGTTGAGGACTACCTGTACTTGTCTTTCAACAGCACAGCTTTCTCTTGTTTTAACATCAATTATTTGACTCAGTGGTGAAATTCAATTTTTTTTACTACCGGTTCTGTGGGCGTGGCTTGCTGGGCGTGGCAGGGGGATAGTGCAAAATCCCCATTCCCTCCCCACTCTGGAGCCAGGCAGAGATGGTATTTGCCGGTTCTCTGAGCTACTCAAAATTTCTGCTACCGGTTCTCCAGAATCTGTCAGAACCTGTGAATTTCACCCTTGATTTGACTCCATTTCACCTTCCTCACTACTGATATCACAATAATAAACTCCAGATTACCTTACTTACTTACATGGCTTCATGTTGAGACTGAACAGCAGGGAGAATCTATGGGCGTGAAATGTGAACATCCCTAGTTCAATCCCTACTCCCCATTCCTACGTCCTGATAAGAAAGACAGGAAGTATAGTTAAAATACATGCACCAATGAGTAATCCTACTTTGTGATCCAGAACAAATAAAAATGAAAAAGACTCTTGATAATGTTTTGGTCTGAACTCTGAGCTTGGCGATTTGGTTGCCAACGTTTTGTCACCATTCAAGCACTTTGAATTGTGCTCGCCTGTCTGAACACCTTCCTTTAAATAGCCATTTATGGGATGCAAATTAGTGTGGTTGTTGTTTATTCAGCTACCTCTGAATTTGGACTGTTTGATTGGATGGCTGTTGTTACCAAGACATGGTCTTTGATTCTAAGTACTGTCTGTGCGATGTAAATTAGTGTCTGTTTGGATGCTTCTGAGTCATGCTCTGGTTTTGGCAAGTTGTTGTTGTTAATGAGGGCTGGTTGTTTTAATGAAACGTGGTCCAATTTCTTGTGAATGGATGGGTTGTGATTTTTGTTGTTATGTAGGGAGGTGCCTATTTGTTCATTCTAAAAGGCTACCTTCGGGATTATGGTTGATGCAGTTCTTTTGTTCTCAATTATTAGTAGCCTGGATCAATGTGTTAATACCACTTTATAATGCCTTGGTAAGGCCACACTTGGAATACTGCATTCAGTTTTGGTCACCACGATGTAGAAAAGATGTGGAGACTCTAGAAAGAGTGCAGAGAAGAGCAACAAAGATGATTAGGGGACTGGAGACTAAAACATACGAAGAACGGTTGCAGGAACTGGGTATGTCTATTTTAATAGAAAGAAGGACTAGGGCAGACATGATAGCAGTGTTCCAATATCTCAGGGGTTGCCACAAAGAAGAGGGAGTCAAACTATTTTCCAAGGCACCTGAGGGTAGAGCAAGAAGCAATGGGTGGAAACTAATCAAGGAGAGAAGCAACTTAGAACTGAGGAGAAATTTTCTGACAGTTAGAACAATTAATCAGTGGAACAACTTGCCTCCAGAAATCATGAATGCCCAATGCTGGAGGCTTTAAAGAAGAGATTGGACAACCATTTGTCTGATATGGTGTAGGGTCTCCTGCCTAGGCAGGGTGTTGGACTAGAAGACCTCCAAGATCCCTTCCAACTCTGCTATTGTATTGTATTTTAATGTCAATGTGTCTGTTTATTGACTTATTGGTGAAAACCAGAGGAATTCTCTTTCTCTCCTTGATTTCTCCTGGGTTACAACTGTGGTCCCAGTTAGATCAAATTTGTGTCTTCTGAGTCTTCATTATTTGATCCCAGACAGCACACACATTTCCTGCTATTACTATTTAGCATATGGCATCTCATTCATGGACTAGGAATATAGATTAATATTTCACCTAGATTAGTAAAATGCAATAAAGTATAATATCTATGTTGAAATATCAATATCTAGGACCCAGATTGTTGGGGGCAATATGCTGACCCTGTAAATTGCTTAAAGAGCAGAGGTGGGTTGCCAATTTTTTTGCTAGTATTTCGGGGGGTGCACGACGCTTCTGCGCATGCACAGAAGTTTCCGGGCAGGTGGGTGGAGCCTCCCGCTGCTGCTATTACCGGTTCAGCCAATCTGGGCCAAACCAGGAGCAACCCACCTCTGTTAGAGAGGGCTGTAAAAGCATTGTGAACCGGTATATAAGTTTAAGTGCTATTGCTATTGTTATAGAGAGAGTCCTGGCAGACGTCACGTGAGGTGCAAATCCTATTCAGGATTGTCCATTATGGGATGGCAGGTCAAAGCCTCGCACCTTAATTGTGGGCTCATTTTTATGTCTTCCTATGTCTGGATGTTCAGCGACCCATTTGGTTTTCCACTGGTAATCGATGTCAAAGTTGTTATTCAAGTGCCAGTGGGAGCTTCCCGGATTTGAGTCTTCTGGCCTTTACCTTTTCTGCTTTAAAAGTGTAATACATTTTTATCTTTCTTTTTATCCCAAGGAGTTGGGTGGCCAGAGAGTGCAAATTATAAACAGACATCTGTAGAGCATGCACAAACAGTCAGAAACAACCTTGGAGAAGAGATGTTTGAAAATCCGCGGGGACCAGAAACATCTGAATGCAACCAATTACACAAGAGAAGAGCAAAATCTTGTACTCCTCAGTGGGCAGAAATCCATTTTTATCTTAGCCAGCAAGGACACAAAAAAGAAAGGAAATGTCCCACCTGTGGAAAAACACGTAGAGAAAATTCAGATCTCTGCAAATACTGCAGAACTCACGATAAAGCAAAAAAATATAAATTTGGGGAGTGTGATCAAAATTACAATTGGTCCCTCCTTCCTACCTTACATCAAATGACCCAAACTGTAGAAAAAACATATCCCTGCACTGAATGCGGGAAAACCTTCAGCAAGAGCAGTAATCTTAATGCCCATAAAAGGATCCATACAGGTGAGAAACTATATCAGTGCATGGAGTGTGGAAAGATGTTCAGGTGGAGCAGCGGTCTCACTTACCATAAGAGGATCCATTCAGGAGAGAAACCGTATAAATGCACAGAGTGCGGAAAGAGCTTCAGTGGCCTGAGTTCCTTTACTTCCCACAGAAGGATGCATTCTGGGGAAAAACCTTATAAATGCACCGAGTGCGGGAAGTGCTTCAGTGAATTCAGTTCCTTTACTTCCCACAAAAGGATGCACTCAGGAGAGAAACCCTATAAATGTGCAGAGTGTGGGAAGTGCTTCAGTTGCCTGAGTTCCTTTACGTCCCATAAAAGGATCCACTCGGGGGAGAAGCCATATAAATGCAGGGAGTGTGGAAAGAACTTCACCATAAGCAGTCACCTGATTTCCCACAAAAGGATTCACTCAGGCGAGAAACCTTATCAATGCACGGAATGTGGAAAGAGCTTCACTTTAAGCAGCCATCTTACTTCCCACAAAAGGATCCATTCAGGGGAGAAGCCCTACAAATGTGTTGACTGCGGAAAGAAGTTCAGGTGGAGCTGTCACCTGACTTCCCATAAGAGGATGCACTTAGGAGAGAAACCCTATAAATGCACGGAGTGTGGAACGAGCTTCATTAACCTGAGTTCCTTTACTTGCCATAAAAGGATCCACTCCGGTGAGAAACCATATCAATGCACACAGTGTGGGAAAAATTTCAGGAGTGCCACTAATCTGAATGAACACAAAAGGATCCATTCGGGTGAAAAGCCATATAAATGCGCAGAATGTGGGAAAAGCTTTAGGTGGAGCAGTTGCCTTACATCCCATAGAAGGATCCACACGGGGGAGAAACCGTACAAATGCACAGAGTGTGGAAAGGACTTCCGGAGGAGCTGTTCTCTCACTACTCATAAAAGAATTCACACAGGGGAGAAACCATACCAATGTACTGAGTGCGGAAAGAGTTTCACTACGAATNGAGGACTTCAACTCCCAGAATTCCCCCCGACGGAAATCTTGGCGACTTTAAGACTTGAGGACTTCAACTCCCAGAATTCCCCCCGACGGAAATCTTGGCGACTTTAAGACTTGTGGACTTCAACTCCCAGAATTCCCCCTGACGTGAATCTTGGCAACTTTATGTCTTGTGGACTTCAACTCCCAGAATTCCCCCAGATGGAAATCTTGGGAACTTTATGTCTTGTGGACTTCAACTCCCAGAATTCCCCCTGACGTGAATCTTGGCAACTTTATGTCTTGTGGACTTCAACTCCCAGAATTCCCCCAGATGGAAATCTTGGGAACTTTATGTCTTGTGGACTTCAACTCCCAGAATTCCCCCAGATGGGAATCTTGGCAACTTTATGTCTTGTGGACTTCAACTCCCAGAATTCCACCCAACGGAAATCTTGGCAACTTTAAGACTTGTGGACTATCTAGCTGGAATATTTTGGGTGTTGAACTTTGCATGTCTTAAATTTATTATTAATATTTATTAATAAAATTTATAGGCCGCCCAATCCCGAAGGACTCCGGGCGGCTTACAAAAGAAAGGAAAAAGAAATGATTAAAAAAAGACAGATTTAAAATTCCCACACATGCATTCGTTCTGATCGGGGCTGGACAGTGAAGTCAACGGCCCCAGGCCTGCCGGAATAGCCAGGTTTTAACAGCTTTTCTGAAGGCCATGAGAGTTTGCCAAGTTTGCAGACCTCTGCTATAGTCAATCTGAAAGGTGTTTGTTTGTTTTTTAAAGCGATATAAAATCATCCTTGTCTTTCTCCATTTCTTGATTGAAGTATTATTTAGCCATTTCTTTTATTGGCTTTCAGAACAGAGCTAAGCCATCCTCACTTAGTCTCTTGCAACCGCAATGTTTAGCTGTTTACAAATTTGTTTTTAAAGTAAACCATAAAGAGCAAATATTATCCAGAATGAAATTACTCCTCCGTTTTGCGATAATTTCTTTTCCTGCATCAGAGAAAACGTATTCTAGCCTACTTGCTATTCCCAACCGCAGCCAGTTAGAAGTCTTTAAACCCCTATTGCAAGTTTATAAGACAAAGAGAGGGGGGGAAGGGATTTGGGGGGGTCTTCTAGACCTGCCGGTCACCAACTGATGGTCCATGAGAAAATTTTGATGGTCCGCAGAAAAATTATTTGCATTTTTTATACTGCACTAAATCAGGGCTCCTCAAACTACCCACCCCCCCTGAGATGGATACGTGCGATGAACGTTTGTGTTGCTGCAGTGAGTCTCCCCCTTCGGGGTCTTTTAGCAATAGCAATAGCAGTTAGACTTATATGTCGCTTCATAGGGCTTTCAGCCTTCTCTAAGCGGTTTACAGAGTCAGCATATCGCCCCCACAGTCTGGGTCCTCATTTCACCCACCTCGGAAGGAT